TATCCCGAGGTATCACTGTACTTTTTTCTTTCTTTTCTTTCTGCACTTTTGGCTTCGTTCTCTCTTTCTTTTTTTATTTTATTTTCTTCCTTTATCTCAAATATTAGTTCTTGTTAGATTATATTTCTTGTTTAAAAGTTTAATAAGGTTATTAAAAAAAGGGAGAAGATATGTAGCCCAACATCATCTAGTGAGAGGTTCCTGACTGAAGGGTGGGGGGTGGGGGATTAGTATTTGATCAAACTGCTCTCTCTCGCTCTCTCTTAAAAATATCTATGGTATTATTTTATTTCAGGTACTTCAGTGTATCGAAGTTTTAAATTTTATAGCTTTTTTTATAGTTGTATTTGGGGAGGAAGAGGTGTGATTTAATTAAAAATGGTAAGATAGAAAATAAACACAGAAAATGAATGCAAGCAAATAATTTGGAAAGTTGGAGCTTGCTCCACCTGGAAGAGTTACCAAACATATCAGCTATATGTACCATACCAACCTTATACTGTGGCTGTACTTTTTTTCTCATCTTGACTGAAGGGAGAATTATTATGGGATATTAAGGAGAAAAATAGCATTGTGGAAGCATACATTAATACATTAGAACTGGAACAATGAAGATACTAACACAACTCCAGAAGTTTGAAAATGTATTCCACCATCAGCTGAGGGCTGAGAAAGGCTGTATTTACAAATACAAAATTTTGTATGTTGGTGCAAGAGATAGGGAAGTTGGGCAGTGTGCAGTCACATTTTTAAGATTAATTAAAATGTGAGGGAGAGAAATTCTCATAAGGCAGACTTTCAAAAGTGGACCAGAGGTTGTGGATTTGTTAGAAATAGGCAGAAACACGTACGGGCTGACAGCAGTACTTCAGCTCAAAATATTTCTTCTGGTGGTAAACTAAGCACAGTTATTGTGGAATCTGCCATGCGTCTGGGGGAGTGCGGTAGTATGAATTCAAAACTTCTGATTACATGTACATGCGACTGAGCTGTCTGGAAGCAGAAGCTCCTATTTATAAATAATAAGGAGCTCCATTGTGGTCAGCTAAAGTATTTTTATTTAAGATCAGTCTAGACCTGCATTAGATGATGCTTCAGTTCCAATAAATGTGGTGTTTTAAATATTTCAGAAAGGTGACTTCAAAAACTTGAAATGCTCCAAAACTGTATCATATCATTTTGCTGTGTTGATCTGCAAGCCAATAAAAAGCTGTCTGCTTGGTATGGTGTCCAAAGGTTGTTCTTTTGTGACTTGCTATGTAAAATACTCCTTCAGCGTCTTTTAAAATACTGTAGTTTGTAGTGTAGATGTTAGACCAGTGTTTCTCAACCTTGACAGCTGGCTAGGGAATTCTGGGAGTTGAAGTCCACACATCTTAAAGTTGTCAAGGTTGAGAAACACTGTGTTAGACAGATGCTCAAGTAGGCAGTCCCTGATGGGCTCATTTGCTTCCTTCAGAGCCCCAAAGCGGCTGGGGCCAAAATGTTCAGACCTGATGGCTTTTTGGGGTATGTGAAAATTTTAAGGGGTAAAATGTGTACCTTAAGCTGTGTAAATAAAGTTAGCCCTCAGGCTAAAAAAGATCACCACCCCCTGGCATAAGCTAGAAGACACAGCCCTAACTTTCAGATTATTTTCAGGTTTATTACGAAAAATGTAAATAAATATAAAATGGTGCCTACAGAAATGTAATAACACGCAAAGGAGATGGTATATTTTTCCCACTGGTATTGAAAATCTGAATTAAAAAGTGCTGAAGTGTTTAGGGCAGTGTTGTCCAAACTTGGCCACTTTAAGATGAGTGGACTTCAACTCCCAGAATTCCCCAGCCAGCATGGCTTAAAGTGGCCAAGTTTGGACAACACTGCCCTAAACACTTCAGCACTTTTTAATTCAGATTTTCAATACCAGTGGGAAAAATATACAGCATGGCTTAAAGTGGCCAAGTTTGGACAACACTGGTTTAGGGAGTCTTCATAATTCCTATGATCTTCTTCAGAGTATAAAGTATTTTATATTTGATGCTCTCACCAGCCCTATGAAATGGAAACCTGTCAATGCATTTTTCCTCCTGAGTATGTAAGATATTGAGCCAAGAACTGGGGAGGCCCAAGTACAGGCATACCTCGGAGACATTGCAGGTGCATTACCACCACACAATAAAGCGAGTCACACAAATTTTTTGGTTTCCCAGTGCATATAAAAGTTATGTTTACACTATACTGTAGTCTATTAAGCATGCAATAGCATTATGTCTAAAAAAAATGTATATACCTTAATTAAAAAAAAATCTTAAAATAAGACAGCAATGAAGTTTGCCACATTGATTGACTCTTCCTTTCGTGAAAGATTTCTGTAGCGTGCAATGCTATTTGGTAAATGCAATATCTGCGAAGTGCAATAAAGCAAAGTGAGGTATGCCTGTACAACACTTGCCTGTTGAATTACACTTACATTCAGCTTTTTAAGAATGGCCTCACCCTTGTTTCTCACTCACTTTCTCTCCCCCACCCACCCAAATATCTATCATGTAGCAACATCGCCCAGTGAATTTCCAGGCACCCTGCTGGGCCAATCACATCACTGCTCCAGACACAGAAGGGGTTGGAGGGCTGGGCTTGCTTGTAAAGAAGCAAACATCAGAGACAAATGCCAGAGCCTGAAACAGGCTCGTGATGGGGTGGGCGGGCAGGCTTCTTTTCTTAGATGAGCTACACGTTTTGATTTCAGTTTTATTACAGCCATTAGCCAGCAAAAGGATGAGCTGCAGGGATGTCTTTTTTGCCGTCTCTGTGAGCCAGTCTTGAAACCACCTAGCCATCTTGAGAAGATGATGGGCAACAACACCGGGGGACTCAGAAACAGCTAAAACCCAAAGTGCCGTTGATCTTCCAGTGACACTTAGTCTCAGCTTAGGCAGCTCTGGCAACGGGGAATCCCGTTAACCCAGAGCCCTTTCCTCGCTGGCTTACGCACCTCAGCATTCACTTGCAAGTATTGTATATCAGGATAAACTTCCTCAGTATTTATTTTATTTTTTTATTTATTTCAAGATTTATAAGGCCACCCAACTCAGACAGTGTGACTCAGGGCAGCATACAGTGTAAACACACAATAAATCCAAAAGAAGAAAAAAAAACCCCAATCTAACAGCAAACACTATATAAATACAAAATGGAAAACGGCGACCAAGCACACAATACAACAACCACAAGGGGGACTCCCACTCAACCGACCCCTGGGCCTGGGGGAAGAGTGTAATGGACTATGAGAATAATCTTGAGGAACAGGAGGAGCTTATCTTCCCCTCCAATGGCCTCTTCCTCCTCTTCCTCAAGGTTATTCTCACAGCCCTTTACAAAGAGCCAAGCCTTAAGGGCTTTCCTAAAAGTGAGAAGAGTTGGGGCCTGTTGTATGGGGGGGGATAGTTCCAGAGAGCAGGGGCAACCCCACAGAAGGCACGCTTCCTAAGTCCCTTAGGTGACAAGATTTAAAAGAAGGAACCTGGAGCATGTCCTCCTGTGGGACCATGTGGGGCGGGCAGAGGTTCTTCGGGGGAGGTGGTCCCTCACGTAACCCGGTCCTATGCCATGTAGGGGTTTAAAGATAATCACCAGCACCTTGAATCATTAGCCCTAGAAAGAACCCTCCCTCTTGCCCGATTTGCTTCTTAGAAGAAAGCAGTCTTTTCATGGCTTCTCCTTCCCCAAATTCCAGGTTTAAGCAAGAGATAGAGAAGCATGCCTACCTCCTAAATTGAGGCAGAAATTAATATGACACCACAGGATGCAAACTCAATCACGGTTCATGCCAATTGATTTAACATTCTTTAAGTGCCTTTTCATGCTTGCAATCAAGCAACTTAGAGAGCTGTGAAAGATCTGTCTTTTCCCCGCGCTTTCAGCACATATTGATGAGCAAAGTGGGAACTCTTACCTGCATCAGGAATATTGCTGTCACCAAATCATTTTGTAAATTATTTTACAGCAGAGGTGCACAAATTATTCATGCCTTCAGATGACAAGTCAGCAGGGGAGAGGGCTGCGCTCCAAAAAGTAGGTGACGGAGCCAAGACAAAAACAAAATTTCACTTCATTTACATTTAATTAAAATCACATATAGTTAATATGATTACTCTGCAGTCATGTATTTTAATAATTTTATCTTTCTGAGACATTAAAAGCTACAAGTTGATAAACTTTTGGAAGTCTCCAATGATCACACCAAGGCTTATAGGGGGAGCCTAAAATCCTAGGATATCAGGTTGTGATCCTGGGCTTATGGTACATAACAGTATAATCTCATGTTTGTGATTTGTTTTGTTTCTGTTCCTCCCTTTTTACCCTCATTCTGTTTTGTTCCTCCCTTTTTACCCTCATGTCCATTTGATGAAATCGATTCGTAGTAAGCTGAGAATGATTAAAAACTGTTGCATGTAATTAATTTATACAACAACCTATTTGGATTGGGAATGATAGAAGCTATAATCCAAAACTTCTGAAGGCAGCAAGTTGGCAAAGTTACTTGAAAAGCTATTTCGTAAATGTTTTGCTGCTGATAAATCTCCTGAGATCTGCTTGTTCTCTTACCACTTTAGAAAATAGTATTTCAATATACTGTAGCATTCTGTCACAAACTGTATTGTATGCAAAACCAGAGTGCATCTAATTTGCTTAATTTTTAAAGAATATGTAACTGTGGTTCACTCCCTCTTTTTTATTTGCAGGAGGCTCCTCTTTTCACAACATTGGAGGCCTGTGGACTCTTCTTACCTGCCTGTAGTGGATGAACATAAGGTACCTTTAGCATGTAAAGCAACCTTTTCAGAATGATGCCCCCCAACATGCTTTCAGTTGCAAATCTCATAATTCTAATCAGCATAGTCAGTGATGCTGTCTGGAAATTATGAGAACTGTAATCCAGCACATCCAGAGGTCATCAGCTTGGGGAAGCGTGGGAGAGAGACTTTTACATATTAATTAAAATCATGTTTGATGTAGTTCTTTTTCTACAGCCAATAAGGAACTGCTACATGCTTAGCTTGGTACCAGAGATTTCCAAACTCCTAGAGGTGTTCTTGTAGTTTAGAGAAACAGCTTGAAAAGCTGAAAAGAGGTTTAGAGACAAGTTCCAAGATGACAAAAGGTATAAAAGATCAATCATATACAGAAGGAGGAAATGAGCTGATTATGTTTAGCTCATGGAATGGAACAAAGGGAAGTGTTGACAGTTGCCAGACATTTAAACAGAGATCAGAAATGAGAGAAGGAACCATTTTCATTCATGTGAACCAGGCTAAACCACATGACAAAGGAGTTACATTATAAACAAGGAAAAGCTATCTCATTTGGGGAATTGGTTCAGCAATGGAATGGTAACTTTCTTGGAGAGGGTTCAAGAAAAGTATGTCACCAGCAAGCATTGTTTTATAAAGATTGACTAAAAATAAAGCATTCAGCTCATACCTTCAAGTGCTTAATAAAATCTGTCCAATGACTATATGGACCTGTTTTCTTGGCAACAGCAGGAGAGTGTTTTGCCATTGCCGTTTTCCAGGTTGGTTTTTAACTTCTCAACCTAGGTTACAGCCTAGGTTTCTTTCTTGGGAGTCTCCCACTTAAGTATTAACCAGATCCGATCCTGCTTGGCTTTTTGAGATTAGCCAACCTTGTCTATGTCCCACTTAAAACATTCATATTGAGCATTTAGGGGCCTGTTACCCCTGTATGTCAAAGGGACGCCTAAACAAAAATGCCCCAATGGGAAAATGCTTTGCCCACAAGGTGCCATCTGTTGTAATTTCTAAAATATTAGAGGTGTAAGTATGAATATTATTTGACTTAAAATGCTAAAGTTTGGAACAAATTAAACAATCTTGTGTGATCACACTGACTAGGGAGTGTGGGGGAGAACCACGTGCGTACCCAAACGTAAACATATACCTAGGAGAATATGTAATTTAATGGTGCCCTCATGTGGTTGAAAGAGAAAAAGCTGTCAGGGAATTTTAAAAGTAGGTTCTTTTTCCGGAATGAAGGTAATGGGAGAAGATCTGTACAGTATCCAGAAGAATTCAGCAGAACTTGAGGGGTGGATCACCATCTGCAGAGAGGATAGCCTATACCTGTACTCCATGTTCTTTCTCAAAGAGTATATTGATTGCAAATGCCCACACAACAACAGGTAGCTTCTTGCATATGGGTCTCTGCTGCAACCAGTGTTGCCAGCTCCTGGCTCCTCCGTTGCAATTGTGTGAATGAGATCAGGCAGCAATGAGCAGCCATCCTAACCTGCCTGCTAGAAGCCTGGCACGGCTAGAACAAACTGCCTGTGATGGAGAGATACAGAAAAGCTGTGGAGAGCTTGTGGCTGGATAGGACAGGGCACAGCAGTGACTTAGAGGAATGAAATGGAATGCTCAGGTGGAAGATCCTGAACTGAGTGAGCGGGAGGTGTTTCCTTTTAACACCAGTTTCTTCTGAGTTTCTTATATTCTGCATTATGAGAATAAAAAGTATTGAAAACTTCCTTCCCTTCTGCCTCCCCCTCCCCAAAAAACCCAATGTTTCTAAGGTCCAAGGATAAAATATACACACTGCGAGTGATTTCTCTTCTAACACTGAAGCAACAGAAGAGAGTTTGGGGGCTTCTTTAAATTAGTGAGCTTTTTAAAAATTATTGCCATATTCCTAGTCATATTCCAGAATACCTATTTCCCAGCAACAGTTCCAATCCCTGATTTAAACATTCAGACAATGTAACATCTCTTTCCCTACCCCAATATATTGAATCAAAATAAGATATGTACCTAGGACTGAAGTTTTTTTTTAATATTATTTTTACCATTTGGTATATTAAAATTCATTCATTCCTGTAAGAGACTTGTGAAGTAGGATGATGGCATTTCCATTTTACCCATGGAGAAATGAGACTGTGAAAGAGATTGCAGACTATATGTTGATTGAACCTAGTTTCAGCTTATGTCTTGTGTTCTGTGCATTGCTGATACTTGCTTTTGTTTGATATAATTTGTTCCAAAAGTAGAATTTAGATTTATTGTCCTTTTCCTCCTTTGTGGGGGCCAGGGAGGAGGAATTACACTGAGATTATTCCATAGAGCACTTATAGCTTTATGAGAATGGGTTTTCAGTGTCTTTTCAGGTATTGCAGGAATTTGACCTCAGGCATGTTAAATGTGCATGCTTAGTAGTCCCATAGAAGATGTTAATATATGCTTTGTAAATGTCTGTACACAAACTGCCTCACACCATTGAAATTAGTAGGAAGTTGTTCCTGGGGAATGTTCCACAAATATATGGGAGCTCTCCTTATACAGATCATTAAACTGGACGGAAGCCTACAAACAGATGCTTTCTCACTTTAGAATAATGATTGTGAAAAAGTTCTGTTTTTTGCAGAATCTAGACAGCTGGCATTTTAAAATATAGTTTAGTGTAAGTTCTTTACTGACAGCTACTCTAGCTCCTTATTTGTAGCTTGAAATTCAGCAGGAAATTGCTAAATATAGGTGAGACAATTTCCTGTCTTTTTGGTCAAAGAAGCAGTGAAATAGGTGCACTAAGTTTTCAATAGGTTAAATATCTTAAATTTTAATTTAAATTTAAATTAAATTTAAATACCTTAAAAAAAAACACATACAAACAGCCCCCTGCAATGTGAGAGAGAAAAATTTAGCATCATCCCCTCTAGTTTCATCATTGTATCATTGTGATGTTCACAGCAGCACTTAGCTGTTGAAAAATTATTTTAGTTTTTCAAAAAAATATTTCAATCTCCAGCTGCAGAAGGTTGCTCACCATTATTATACGCAAAAATCATTAGATGAAACTTTACTCTGGAAAGTATTTTTCAGCATGTATGAGGAATTAATTTGGGGGGGGGAGTGTGTTTCCTCTTCTTCTAATGGAATGACCTCTCCTGATTTAAAATGTTTCAATTTTGCTAGAGCTTTGTGGTGAGATTAAATGAATTCCCTCTTGGATTTTCTCAATGCCACTTGTTCATTGCATTATGTCAGTCTAAAGTACTATGTTTTAATATTATATGTATTTTCTTCTTGTAAATCAATTTTTAAGAGCTTTTATTGGACTGCAGAATAAGAGAGCCAGTTTGGTGTCATTTTAAGGCACCAAGCTATAAACCAGGACACCATGAGTTCTAATCCCACCTTGGGCACAAAGCCAACTGGGTGACTTTGGGCCAGTCACTGTCTCTCAGCCCTAGGAAGAAGGCAACGGCAAACCACTTCCAAAAATCTTGCCAAGAAAACTGCAGGGACTAGTCCAGGCACTTGCCAGGAGCCAACTCTAACTTGAAGGCACAAACATGGCTACACAACAACCACAAAATATAAAAATGAAAATTTTAAAAGTCATAAATAATTCCTTGACTTTAGGTTACTGTAAATGCCCTGGAAAACATACTATACAAAGTGAAACAGATGTTGGATTTCTGACCTCTTTTGACTGACGAGAAGCAGGCCTAATAGTTATAATGGGGAAGACTTTCTTACTTTGATTCAGAAAATGAACTCTTGATATATGTACAGTTTCAGCACTTTGATCTGTTCTGTGCTCTAAAGCTAAACTATATAAAGAACAAGGAAATTAGAACATTTTTTTTTACTTTGTTTTCTTCTGTGTCAACTGAACTTGGTGAAATCCAGGAAGAAGTTAAAATGGGACTGAATTAAGTCCCTCTGCATTATCTCTCTTGATTTAATCTAGGAGGCTCAAATTCTAGGCAAACTGAAATGGATGATTTCTTTTTTTTTTTATTGGTGATATCTGGGAAGGCAAATAAGATCCAGTTGGTAATAAGGCTGATCCAGCTGATAAAGAACAATAGGTCTTGTCTCAGTTCAAGTATAAATTTTATACAAGGGACCCTAATTAGCAAAGTAGTATTTGAGAGAGGGGAACTTATTCTCCTTTCCTGAGAGAAGGCAGACATAGAATAAAGATGTGGCTCTTTGGTGTGGCATTATCAGCCCAAACCTTTGTTTACTGTGTTCTACAGTAGGAAGTGGGTGTAGGATGTAATCTGTGAAATACAGCAGAATATAACCCTGATTTGTACCGTATGTCAGGTTCTTCCTCAGTGAAATGCAGAGAATAGCCTTCAGTCATCCTCGGCCAGCAGATCCAGAAGGCATCAGAATTTTTCCTTAATGTTGGTCAGGGAATGGTGGAGACGGTAGAGGGAGAACTTAACAGAGATTACTATGGCTAAAAAGATTTCAGTATTTTCAGAACTATGCCCAACTTTTCTATCTGTGCCCATTGTAACTCCACCTTGTTGCTATGGTGATGATTCTCTAGAACGATTAGATAAAAGCAAGAGCAGAGCATCTGTACTTTCTAGTAATTGCACAGAAAAGAGGATGTTGATGCATGCGCTAATTTTGCATACACACTTGAAGCTGCTTTTGCCAAAGCTTGGTCTTCTATACAGACAAACTGGAGGTGCATTCTGATTTGGGCATGGATACCCTTACCAGGCTTAAAAGAGAAAAATAAAAATAACGTGGCCCATCTTAGCATGGCTCCAGGAGCCTGTAGGACTTGATCAGCCAATCAGTATCAAAGAAAGGTGGTGGGACTGGAGAGAATAGCGATGGGGGGCCTGAGCGCAGGGGCTTATATATTGCCTGCCAGTATGCTGGATATTGCAGGTCTCGAGGAGGGCTCCGAGCATAAGCGTCGCGCGTGTGCTGGCGAATGCATTTTTAGTAGGCCGCCCGTTCATGACGTTTGGGTACAAAGCGGGCTTCGAG